TGATGAGGATTTACCGCAGGATCGTGCAAATTGTACCAATGGATCCGGGACCGAAACGTTCCCCGTTCTTCAAAATGACTATCCATCCAACCATTTTCTAAACCTAATTATAAGAAACACGATGTTTGGAAATCGTTCGTTACCTACAGCACTTAATTTCTCTAATACCGAAGGTCGAGCCACAGGGAGTCAAGAGCTGGCCGTACCTGCAGAGGTTTGTTGCGTAAATTCACGCCATGCCAAAGTCAGTGAAGCTGTCCAATTGCTCTTTATTGACTGTTAAAGGTTTTTTTTTTGTTTAAAAGCAATGATTCTGAGATGTGCGAATATGTTAATGCATGCGACAAGTTAGTTATTTTAGTACTTTTCACATAGACCTGTATATTCCTTACAGTTGCATGAAAGTAGTTTTTGTTGTTGTTTGTTACGATTTGCGATATCGATGTGCTATTGGTGTGTTTTGTTTTTAATATCATTATAATTATGCATTGGTACGAGTGTGTCTATTTTGCTTAAGTTTTTTTAACTGCAAGAGCTTAGTACACTTTTCTCGTAGTGCTAATTACTAATGGGTATTGGTCACAATTTGAGCTACCAATGTGAAGTAGCTGTTGTGAGAGATAGTTTGTATACTTCTGAGGCGTAATGATGCCTGGAGTTGATACGTTTTTTATCATGATGTCATATATCGTTTCTTTTGCAACTTTGTTATAATGTACAGCTTGAAAGTAAGCGCCAGTACGGTAACAATGTTATGAGTGTTGCATAAAGCTATGACATGCTTGATATGAGGCATGATCCCTTTTTGTAAATATATGTGTTTAACTTTGTTTTATAATTTTTTGTTTACATTTTTTTTACTATGCATTGCAGCGCAAGTTATGACTTCTTATGATGCACTCTGATTTGAATATTATGTTCGTATAAATGTGCGAGTGTTTGATGGTACCAATGAATGGTGAATACATGCTTCAAAAACATTTTATTCACTTCTGATTTCATTACTAGAATGTATTTTTCTTGTTGTTGTACATGTATTATATTTTCTTCATTATCATTTTGTATAACATTTCTTTCGTGTGCGTATTTTATGATTGTCTTTATCGTTTAATGTTTAAAATTGTATGCCAATTTTTTTTTAGGGGGCGGATGTTATATACATGCGTATAAATTCATATTTTTGATAAAGACAATTTGTTAGTTTCTTAGGTGTACGTATGATTTAGGTATTGTTTAAATATTATAATTGATGTACTGGGAATTTGTAATTGAAAATTAATTGTTTTATTTGATCTTCAGAAAGAGCACTGCTGCACGTGTTTGTAATTTCTCAAACTTGACATCTCTCTCTCCATCCCACGGTATCGATGCTATTAGCTCATAATTGTTATCGGGTTTATGGTCAGATCTTAGACTGGTGTTTCTTTGAATTTGTTATGCTTACTCAAATTGTTTCCTGTGTTATAAATTAATGTCATTGAGCTTTCCCCAAACTTTTCTACTGTCTTTTAACTTGTTTCATTGGTTCATTTATGAAATGTGGGAGGAGTTGTCAAAGATGAGACGTGCCTGAGTTTATTTGTAATTCACTCTCACTTTAGGAATTTTTGTGTAAAAATGTGAATTTTGATTTTGTACATTTGGACTTGAATAAATTCTAAACTTTAACTAGGAATTATTTTTTCAAAACAATATAATTATTACACCGCCTTACCCCCGGGTGTCATGATTTGAACAAATTTGAATCTACACTACCTGAGGATGCTTCCATATAAATATGATGAAATATGGCTTTGACATTCTTCAGAGGATTTTTAAAGAATTTTCCTATATACATGTATTTCTATGTAAAACTTTGGTCGGCCATTTTGGCCCCTCCCTACCCGGGGGTCATGAAATGAACAAATTTGAATCAACACTACCTGAGGATGCTTCCATATAAATATGATGAAATATGGCTTTGTCATTTTTGAGAAGAAGATTTTTAAAGAATTTTCCTATTTATTTCTATGTAAAACTTTGTTCGGCCATTTTGGCCCCGCCCTATCCCCGGGGGTCATGATTTGAACAAACTTGAATCTACGCTACATGGGGATGCTTCCATATAAAAATGATGAAATATGGCTTTGTCATTCTTGAGAAAAAGATTTTTAAAGAATTTTCCTATATTTTTGTATTTAAAACTTTGGTCGGCCATTTTGGCCCCGCCCTATCCCCGGGGGTCATGATTTGAACAAACTTGAATCTACATTACCCTAGGATGCTTCCACATAAGTTTCAGCTTTCCTGGCACAGTGGTTCTTGAGAAGAAGATTTTTAAAGTATACCACCAAATTTTCATTTATTCCAAATTATCTCCCCTTGAATGAGGGCTTGGCTCTTCATTTGAACAAACTTAAATCCCCTTTATCCAAGGATGCTTTATGGCAAGTTTTGTTGAAATTGGCCCAGCGGTTCTTGAAAAGAAGTCGAAAATGTGAACAGTTTACAGACGGACAGACGGACGCCGGACAAAATGTGATCAGAAAAGCTCACTTGAGCCTTCGGCTCAGGTGATCTAAAAATACTTATTTAAATTGTCGTTTTTTTTTAAGGAAAGAGCAGATTCGGTCTTTTTGGAAATCGGTGTATAACCAAAGAAGGAAAAATCCAAATCCCTTCCTTAATCACGCATTGCAATTACATTTATTAATCTAGTTCGAAACTTCTGAGCAAAATTATATCGGCTGTTGCATATAAGGTATTGCAGAAGACAGAACTGATGTGACGCGTAATTTTTTTTCTGGATTTTGCTGAAAAAGACTGTTCCTCTTTATGCAGTTACGGGTCAGAATAGGTTTCACTGGGGTAATGAGCAACAGTCGGCTTTTGAAAAAGTAAAACTGGCTTTTACTAGTGCTCTAGTTTTTACTTTACCAACTAAGGATGGATATTTCATCTTGAATACAGATGCAACTGAGATTGCCATCGGAGCAGAGCTTTCTCAAATTCAAGATTGTGAAGAGAGAACTATCGCCTATTCTAGTTTAGCGCTGTCATATGAGCAACGATGCTACTGTACAATGCGTAAGGAACTTCTTGCAGTGATAGTCTTTTCACGCTACTTTCGATACTACTTACTGGGAAGATGCTTTACCAAACGTACAGATCACAGCAGCTTTCAGTGGTTACTCAACTTTCGCTACCGAGAAGGCCAGCTCGGTCGTTGGATGGAAGAATTCAGTCAATACAACATGACTATCGACGCACCCTACATAAAATCATACACAGTATTAGACAGTTCGCACATAAGATAGTTCCACTACACAATACATGGAATCTCATGTCAACTTACCAAGTGCGTGCATCAAGTATCAAGAAAACAGAGAAAATCTTTGCCTCAGATAATGAAGAGGATGATGACCTTGAAGATGAGGAAGTTTCAGGCCCTGAGAAAAATATTTGTTCACCAAAGTAAGCATCAACAAAAAACTTCTGAAAAAGTATGGTGAATTGGGTTTGACAGACGCAACGTATAAAACGACAAAATATGCTCTGCCTTTATTCCTTCTTCTTGTGCGCACCAATGTCTCCTATGTACCTATAGAAGATTTCATAGTAGAGACAGAAAGAACAGAAAATATCTTGGAACCAAGATTTTTCATGATGGATTATTCTCATCAGGAATATCAAGCCATACATGAACTTTTCCCTGATGCAGCAAAATACCTCTGCACCTTTCATGTGGAGCAAGCTTGGATCCGATGGTGTAAACAGAATAAGACTCTATCATACTGGGGCATCGCGATGCTAATAACAGGAGTAGATATATTAATATCAAAATTATTAGCTCCTCACAGGTAGAAGATCATTCAATATTCAACGTCTACAGAAGCGTCTACAAAAGCGTTTGGGACTTCTTTACACTGTCACGCAACTTAGAAACAAAGGACTTTTACTTCTTAACCTGTTATGGTATACACTGCACATTGAAATAAAAAAAAAATATCCAATACATTTATTCCGTTATAATTAACCACAAAGAGAAAAATTACCCACTCAGATTAAAAATAAAGAAAATAGAACACCAAGCAATTAATAGCAGACCCAACCCCTTTCTCTGAACTTAAGACGGAATAAAGTGCATAATGAATTTACATAATTCTTGTTAATAGACATTCTGATAATTTTGTTTATAGATATTTATTCCGTGATACATTTATCTCAGCTGATTTATAACGGAACCAAGTACATATATTGAATTTCTACATTTTTTTTTTTATAAAGACATTAACTACATGTATATACATTTATCTCAACTGATTTATAACGGAATTAAGTGCATATTGAATTGTTATAGTTTTCATTTATGAAGACATTTATTCCGTTATACATTTATCTCAATTTATCTCTAACGGAATAAAGTACATATATCAGAATCCTGTTTAGGGAATATATGCATTTATTCCGTTCCAAATTTATTTTAGACAGCAAAAAAAAAAAAAAAACAATAACTAAAGAATGAATGGTGCATAAGAGGAATTAATAGCTGTTAAACGGAATAAAGCATAATACACAATAAACACGCACTTCGCAAAAGAAAATGGCGTCCAGACACAGAGCAATTCATGAAAAATGAATGTCTATACAAGATATAGTTAGACCAGCGAAGGAATGGCCGTTGTCAATCAGACGACTGTTTCGGACTCCATTCTTAATTCTCATTTGTAGACTTTTCTCCAACGGCAGGATTTATAATCTGTACGCCTGGAATGTCAGTGCGAGGCGCTATAAATACCTTGATGGTAGCGTAAGAAGATATGTACCAAGGCATTTGCATTGAAATATTACTTCCGGTAAGATGGCGATGGGCGCAATCAGAATGTAAAAGAAGATATTTGCTCATGTTTGGGATAATCAAGTAGAATTTTATAGATTTAATCTAACTCTCAGCTAAATACTTCACTCTAATACAAGAAAGAAAAGATCACTAATTGTTACAACTGCACAATTCAGTTAAAATGTCGTCTACGTACTATACACGTGGTGCGGCAGGCTCTAAACACCCGACCAAGATATTTGAAGATTGTGTTACTGGCGAGGAACTTGAGGAGGCTCTACAGCACGACCCTAAATTACACCAGCAGTGTGATGGAAGAATCAATAACATTACTTTCAATACAGATTCGACAGACATATGGAAAAAGGTAATAGTGGACTTTTTCGGAAGTGAAAATACAGAAAGCTTACCCAGCCAAAACAAAAGTAACAGCGGACTTAAAGTCACATATGAGAAAGACACTTGTGTAAAGTTTAACTTTTTTACGACAGGCAAGGTTAATATCCAAGGGGGTTCTTGTTCAGCATTTTACGATCTGTACTTTAAACAACTTGAAGATCTCGTAAATTCTGAAGCTGAAAGATTGGGCGATACTCATCCTTAAACTGTACATGGTTCTTCTGAACCCAAGATACAAAATTGTGAAACATATACAGGAGATACACTAGAGCTTCAACCAGATGATATAATCACAGATCAACCTCAAAATGATATGAACACTTGTGATTCCAGTGACACAGTTACTTCTTGTGATGCTAACAACAACAGAAACACAAGTCAGATAATAGACTCTGTAAAAGAGTCTGTGAACAAATTTGAACTTAGTGCAAGTCGTATAGAGAATGTCGTAGTGAAGGCTATCGGTGACCTCATAAAGAATAGTCAGAATGGCATTTATTGCCTAATCAAGCAAACAGAAGGCCAGATTGCAAAAACATTGAAAATATTAGTTGAAAATTCCAACAGCAACCAACCAAAACAAACACCTGACCAAGTGTTAGCCCTGAAAACAGAGCTTTCACAAGTAAAGGCAGAAAATCTTGTGTACAAGGAAGAAATTGATGGAATAAGGAAGAGACATGCCAGAGAGCTGAGAGAAATGGAGGCCAAATATACACAAATGATCAACTCGTGTGATAAAGAGAGAGAATGGTTCCAAAGAAGACTAACTGAAAGAAACAACACCATAGAAAACTTGGATGAAAAGATCAGTGAGTTGAAAACAAAACTTCATAACAAGGAAGAAGAAACATTGTCTCTCAAGTTACATATGCAGAATCAATTACAAGATCACACCACGGAAATGGTTCAAGTTGCATCAAAGAAACCCAACACTGACGAAAACGATGGAAAGCGTAAAGAAAATGGCAGAAAAACCTAAAGTACTTCTTATTGGGACTTCAAATGTTCACAAAATAAAGGAAGAAAAGTTGTCAACACAATTTGACACTATTAAGAGAATAGCATACACTCTGGAAGATACACATGACGAAATAAAGAAGTTCACAGAGACTCCAGACTGCATTGTTCTACACTCATTAACAAATGATGGAAAAACCAAGCATGCAGTACAATGCACACAACAGCTGGAGGAAATTATTAACTCCTGCAAATCAAAGTGGACTAATATTAAGGTTGTGCTTTCATTGGAAACTCCTAGACTTGATGATAAACATTTAGATGCTAAGATGCAGACCATCAATGCAGCAGTGGTCATGAAGTTCATGGAGGACCCTCATGTTACCCTATCACATAATACAAACTTAACAAACAATGGTATTCCACTTACAAATTTACTGGAACAGGATGGATATCATCTATCAAAGCAAGGCACTGCAAGACTGGCTGCAAACTTAAGGAACACAGTGTTTTCGGTACTAGAGATTCACCAGTTACCTTCACAGAGAAATAATGGCGCGAGGTTTGGCAAACGGAACACCAAATATTACGGTAATTACAGAAACGCGAACCAATGGAACACCAGTCACCACAACTTCAGATACAACCCTGGATACGACAATTTCCGTGACTATGGATGGAACAACTACCATGACAGGAGACAAGGCCAATGGAAATATTGACCCATCCCAAACATGGGCAGTTAATTATATCAGCTGTCTTACTGAAATATAAACAAAACAGTTAGAGTTGACTGTTTAGGAAGTCTTTTTAGTAGATCTAATTTGCTTAGTTTGATTTAGTTGTATATGCATGCTTAGTAAGCGTTTCTTTAGTGAAGTTAAATTTTGTTTTTGGAATATTGGGGGCCTAATTACCAGAGGGGAAAACAAACTGGAAGATGATTTTTTCTTGTCAGAACTATTTGGATACGATATAATATTTCTTGCGGAGACACATGTGGGTTATGATTTCAAAGCCGCACTAAATGGCTATAAATATTTTTCAGTATGTAGACCAATGTCAAAAAATGGAAGGCATTTTGGAGGGCTTGGTATATTTATAAAAACAACAATAAAACCTTATGTCTCTATATTACCAAACACAAACAATGATTTTCAGTGGGTTAAATTAGATAAATCTTTTTTTCATTTAGACAAAGATTTGTACATGTGCTTAGTATATTATCCACCATCCCAGTCACCTTATTTAAAAAACTTATCAATAGATATTTTACAGTCCTTAGAGAGTGAAATTACACATTTCAGTACTAAAGGGGATGTAACTCTTTGTGGTGACTTTAACAGTAGAATTGGAAACCTTTTAGATTTTATACCATGTGATACCATAGATCATCTTCCGGTTGGTGATGACTATTTGTCAGATTTAGATTCATACTGTAGACAAAGTAAAGACAATATCATAGATAACAGAGGCAAAGAGCTTATTGAAATTTGTATTGGTAATCAATTACGGGTTTTAAACGGAAGGGTTTTAGGAGACCTTTTAGGTAACTTTACCTGTTTTACAAGCAGTGGCAGTAGCATAGTTGATTATGTTCTTGTATCAGAACGCATTATAGATAAAATTATATATTTTCATGTATCACCATTTTTAGCAACTTTAAGTGATTGTCACTGTAAAATTACATGGAGTCTACTTGCAAAATTTGACAAACTTACAGACAAATCCCAAAACTCCCAAACACTGGAACAAAAACCATGTAAATTTATTTGGAATGAACAGTCTGCAAGTAGATTTCAACAGTATGTCAGTAATGATCTAGAATTTCAAAACAAAATTAACAGCTACAATTCTTCGAGTATTTTGGATGTTAACAAAGCTGCTCATAACTTGAATGAAATTTTTCTAGATGCAGCATCTAAAACTCTAAGAAAACCAAAATTCAATAAACAGAAGAAAACCAAAAAATCTGAACCATGGTTTGACAAAGATTTACATTGTTTACGTCGTAGACTAATATCATTTGGTACAGTCTTAAGTTTTTTCCCTAGAAACCCACAGGTACGTGGCAGGTATTACAGACTACAGAAAGAGTACTCTAAAGCTGTAAAATTTAAACGGAGGAAATTTAAATCAGATATGTTGAACAAAATAAGTGAACTTCATAAAAATAATCCAAAAGCTTATTGGGATATGCTATCAAAATTAAGAAAAGATAGAGACACTAAAGTCTCAGCTGACTTAATATCCCCGGATACATGGTTAGATCACTTTAATTCATTAAACAAAATTGATAATGCTTTTACTGATCGGATTGAAATCATCAAAAAGCAAGTTACAGATTTAGAAAAAATTAGGTGCTTTAATGAGTTAGATATGAAGATAACAGAAGGGGAATTATATAAAGCTATCAAAAAACTTAAAAATGATAAAGCAGTTGGTCTGGACCTTATCTGTAATGAAATGTTAAAATATGGGCAACATGTTTTTAATCCTTGTCTTCTAAAATTGTTTAATAATTGCCTTATTCATGGCATATACCCCAACTCTTGGACCAATGGGTATATAAGGATATGGAAATAACGAACAGTATTCAATCTCAACGTCCATTAAACAAATATACAAAACAAGAGCAGAGCAAACACGGACCTCCGAAACATCAGAGGTGGGATCAGGTGCCATGGAGGAGTGAGCATCCCCTGCTGACCGGTCACACCCGCCGTGTGCTCATTGTCATAATCAGGAAATAACGGAAAAAATCCGTAGTCAATTCAGTGTATAAATAATGGACTAACAATTGGTATGAAAAACGTCAGTCAGCATTTCATAGTACCCCTTCATAAAGGAGGTGATCCAAGTAATCCTTCAAACTATAGAGGAATCACAATCACAAGTAACATAGGTAAACTATTCAATTCTATCTTAAACTCCAGATTGGACAAATTTTTAAATTTTTAGAAGAAAACAATATTATTAGCAAATACCAAATTGGTTTCTCTAAAGCATGTAGAACATCTGATCATATGTTCATTTTGAAATCTCTTGTTGAGAAGTATTGTCATCAAGGAGGAAAGCTATATGCATGTTTTGTTGATTTCCGTAAAGCTTTTGACACTGTTTTACATGATGGTATAAAGTTAAAACTTCTACAAATGGGGGTTGGAAGTAATTTTTACAGTTTGATAAAAAATATGTATTCTAAAAACATGTCACATATTCAATTAGGAAATCATTTAACAAAACCCTTTTATACTAATCTGGGTGTAAGACAGGGGGACAATCTGAGCCCGAATTTATTCAAAATATTTATTAATGATTTACCAAGTATGTTATCCAGTACACCAGATCCTTGCACACTTAATAATTTAGAAGTACATTGTTTATTATATGCTGATGATGTTGTTCTGTTATCAACCTCAGACAATGGTCTTCAACAAAAGCTAAACACATTAAATGAATTTTGTCAAAAATGGTGTTTAAATGTAAATGTTGATGAAACAAAAGTCTTAATTTTTAATAAATGTGGTAAACTGTTGAAGAATAAATTTTTATTGAATAATAGTTTACTTGAAAATGTTACCAATTATTAATATCTTGGTGTTTATTTCACTGCATCTGGTACTTTTTCGCATGCTAAAGATGCATTGTATAAAAAGGGTCTAAAATGTTATTTTAAGTTATGTAAAGATATTTTAGCATTTCATCCATCTGTTAAAACTAGTCTTCATATTTTTGACCACACAATTAAGCCAATACTGTTATATGGCAGCGAGATATGGGGTGTGTTCAATCCTCACTCATCACGATTCAGAAATGGTATCTCAATCGACAATGTATATAATTTTTCAGAACCTGACAAGCTTCATTTGAAGTTTTGTAAATTTATACTGGGTGTTCATAAGAAAAGTGCAAATTTTGCAGTAATGTCAGAACTTGGAAGATATCCATATTATATTAATATCATAAAATCAATGTTATTATATTGGCATAGATTGGAAAATTCTGATAACAGTTCTCTCCTGTACAATGCTTTTATTAATTCTAAAACACTTAGTACAAATAGAGACACCTGGTTCTCTTGTATTCTTGAATTTTTGAAATTTTTAGAAATACCAAAAAATGCCTCCTCCTTAAGTCAATCTAAATTCAAATTTGTCATCAATAATCAAATTCGAAAAAAGTTTATTTGCTCTTGGCTGAAACTGAAAGAAAAAAATTCTGATGGAAAATTGGACTCTTATGTAAAGCTTAAAAGTAATTTCCAACGTGAGGAATATTTAACATTACTAAATAACTTTAACTTTAGAAGAGGTATAACAAGATTAAGAATATCTTCTCACAAACTCAAAATTGAAACTGGCAGATATATTGGACTTGAAAGAGATAAAAGAATATGTGAAAAATGTAATTTGAATGTAGTGGAAAATGAAATACATTTTACCATAGACTGTCCTTTTTACAAAGAAAGAAGAATCAAACTTCTAAATGAAGCACAGAAATATAATAAAAATTTTCATAGCTTAGATAGTTCTCAAAAATATTTTTGGATCATTACATGTGAAAATATCAATGTCTTACTTCAACTTGGAGAGTACCTGTCTAGTCATTTAATATAACATTTTAAAGCACAACAACAATATGATATGTATGTATTTATATTTTTTAACACAAATTACTGATTTTTTTTTTGTTTATCTACTTATTGATTGTCTTTGTCTACACATGTACCTTTCATGCCTCTCTGAGGGCCCTTAATTGGCAATAAAATATTGTCTATTGTCTATTGTACATTTGACAAAATAAATTATTACAAACATGTTTTTTATTCTTTCCTTTCTTTCTCTTTCACCAAGGATTTCAAGTCAGCTGTATTTCTGGCGTGAAGTCAAAACTCTGCCCCAAAACTATTCATATTCAATTATTTAATTCCACTGTATCTAGCCACCCCCTTCTGTTATAAAATGACCCTTCCTCAGAGTTGCCCTTAGTGTGCTCCAAGTCTTCACGTGCAGCATGTCAGAAACCAGGAAGAGTGGCGAGAGCTATCGCGAGAGACACACTGCGGACATACTTACCATTACCCCAGCAGAGTTTGTTAACCATGGAACTTTTTTCATCTATTTTCAAGGCCTGATAATCAAATTTATGAATGATGCAGGTAAAACAACCTGCTGCCAACGTCTTTTGCATGCAATATAGAAAAATGTCCTGGAAACATGACATTGCTTCTTTATAACGTGTTCCCCATTGAACTATTTTTCGATACTCCTTGAAAAGGGTCTACACCAGGTCTTCCAGAACCTATTCGTTTCTTGATAGAAGCAATCTGGTGTTGCAGGACATCTTTTTGTTTATAAAATGTTACTTTGAGAAAAACAGTGTAGTTCAGTTCCCGCTTTTCTGGCATGTCATACACAACAACTCCTGTAAATTTAGCGTCTTTTATTAGGGAAATATTTTGGGAGTATTTCCACAACACCCTCCGCTTTCGCAAATTTACGAGACCCTTTTCGGAAGGCGCGTCAAAAATTCACAAGGGCAACCCAAACGTGGTTTGAAGGCGAGTTAACTCCCTTTCAACTATACTCTTCAAAAAAAGAAACGCATCGTAGAATTTTAGTGACAGATTGAACATAAAGATTATTTAGTAAAATGATGCATTGATAAAACAGAAATGTGGTAAGCAACAGGAATACTATCTAAATGTCATAATTACTCAACAATTTT